AAATACTCGAGTAAAGCATCTGAAATCCACTACTTCGTTACTTTCCAGCTTTTGTTTGGAGCTCCAACGAGGCAGTGATGACAACACCCGGCACTCCTTCTCCTCTTCCGGTCCTTGCCTCAGAGGGAAGGAAACCCCTTTGGGGAAAAAAAGCTCAACGTTCAGCCAATCAGCTCCAAAGCCGCAGACAGAATAACCAATCATTAGCCTGGACTAAGCTATGCCCCACCCCCCGAAGCCAGCTGGACTCAGCGCTGCCACAAACTCTGCACAGTCAGTAGGTCAGCAGCCTTCACTTACTTCCAGCGCTCTCTGCTCCATCACCAACTGTCCATCCATCATGAGGGAAATCGTGCACATCCAGGCCGGCCAGTGCGGGAACCAGATTGGTGCTAAGGTAAGAAAAGCTAGTGATGAAAAATAAACCCCCACCTTTTCTCTTCTTTTTTGTCGTTATTTATTTATTTACCAGTTTAATAAAGTTTTTGTTCAAAGTTTTTCATTTTTAAATCATTTAAATTGCTGCTCTTTTTGTACAGTTTCAATATATACTTACTCTGTATTAAATCATGGAATTACATAGAAATAAACTGATTAATTCCTGTAATTTACTAAGAGGATTTTTGTTTTTTATTATTTTAAATGTACAAACCTTTAACTGGACCCAGAACAATTGAGAGTTCCATTGTTTTCCCCCACTTTCCCCCCCTGACCATTTAAAAGTTACAGTATTCTTTTATACTTTAGCTAACCTCTTTGTAACCTACTTTAATCTAAAGGGGAATGTGCATATTTTGTGTTTTTATCATATGTTACATGAGTCTTGGATTCTTTTAGGTAAAATTTTGACAGAGCTGATCTAATCCTTTTATTAATAGATTGAAGCACTCTAGGCAGAAACAATAAATCAGTGTTGGGACATAAAAGTGAAGTATAGATAACTTTGCTATTACATATGATAATTTTTAATGAAGTATTATGAAGCTGTAGGATCTGACAAAAGAATGTAATACATGGCATATTAATTACAGCAATATAATAAGACTTCTGTCTAGCAGTAGTCTTTCATGCTTTCTCTGCACATGAATACAGTAACATTTGCAGATTTGTAACTGCAGGCAAAACAGTGACTCCAGTCACTGAGCTGTGATTAATGAAGCTGGCCAGACCGGAGCCGACTCACAGGGCCAGCTGCTGCCTGTTGAGCTCGAGTCTTTGTCATCGAGGAGAAAGAAAAAAACAAGAGAAAAGGGTGAAAAGAAAGGAGAAATTTGCTGAGGCAGAGGAGAGGAACGCAGCAGGAGGAGGGTGAAGGGGGAGGAAGATAACAAGTGGTTCAGTGTCTACGCTGAATGCACAGATGAGGTCATTTAAATGGCTGCCTTTTCCAGGCAGTGTGACACATGTGCACGCCCCAGGCCCCCCAAATCAGCAGTCCTCATCCCTGTTTACCCGTGGGTAATAGGAAGGGTTCTCTATTTATCTGCATTTTGTTGGAACAGTTTAAAGGATTTCTTGGATCCTACAGCTACTTACCTCAAGCTGCAGCAGTTAGTGGATCAGTCAAGGGATGCAAAA